GCACGTGAATGGTGTTTGTATGTGGTGGTAGCCCCAAGTCTCCATTCGTGCATAGGGGTGGTTGCGTCTCGATAGCTATAAGGGTGCGGGAGATATGAGGCTGAAAGTGGTTGAAAGTGGCTTTCTATTTCGAATGTTTTGTTCGATTTTTTCGAATTTGTTCGAATTAAATTCGAACATAAAATTCGAATTGGTTCGATTATAAAACGATTAAAAACGTTCCAGAAACGTTAAAATTTGTTCGTTTGACTAAACGTAAAAATTCTCTAATTAGTCTGGAAACGGGGGACTTAATTCTTGCATTTTGTGAAAACGGGTAAGATTAGAAAAACAGTCTTTTATATATATATAAATAAACTATACTACTACATAAAAATAAAAACCCAGCGAAGCGGGATCTTGCAGCGAGTATATATATATAGAATATATAGATATAGATTTATTTTTTCGAAATTTTATAATTTTTTTATTTTATTATAATCCCCCCATAAATATAAATACAATTCATTCTCGCAATTTAGCACTTTCATATTTATGAAACATATTTATTTAAAACAGGCAATGTTTGGATGCTTGTGCTCTACAAGAATAAACACTCAATATAGTTACATTCTGTATATCTTACTGTTCATCGCAGAACCGGCACTACTCTGACGCCTTGTCAGGACTAACACCACCGTGTCTTTACGGACAAACACAGAAACCTGGTTGCCCATTAATTTCGTTGCGTGAGCGGTCACGTCTTAGGCTTCCGGACTCGGAACAGAGGCGAATGGAAACGACCGGAAAAAGTCTACTCCACAGATTAACATTAAACAAAAATACCTGTTTATTGATAGATATTATTTACAAGTTAAAAAATATCATCTAGGTAAGCATTATATTTTTGGTGTCATCGGGTGGGGAGGGGCAAGACCGCAAGGTGCCGCGCGGTTAGTTATTTCGTAATTATACGAAATAACTAACCGCGCGGCACAGTCCCATGGTTGGCAAGATACGCAGTGCACGTGTCAGAGCATGTAGTATATAAAGTCACATATCCTGAGTGACTCATAATCTCCCAGAGCAAACCACTGAACCTAAATAGGTGAAATTTGGTACACTGTTAGGTTACGTCATGAAAATGCACACTAAGAGGGGATTTTTCGAAATTCCTTTGCAGGAACAGCACGAAAATTGTACACTTACCTTTATAATATATAATGATAATGATAATGAAAATACCGTAAATAAAGAATTAATTAAAATTCTAATGTTCAGCTTATGAGACTTATTCTTCAAAGAGTATTAACATAAATTTTTTTATTAAAATTGTAAATATATAGTTTGTAGCTTGATTGTTTTCCGGTTTTAGCTTTTTTAATCGACTAAACACAATACAGTTTTTAGTAGATTGTTTTCAAAACAAAACATGTTTCTTAAACAAATATGAAGAATTTAGTACAGCTGCAATATAAAATACAAATTAAGAACTACTTTTAATTCTGAGATTATATCAAACATAAAAAAAAAAATAGTTTCACAATTGAAGTGTAAATACAAACAGCACTTACGACGTGTTTTCCTTAATACATTACTTTTAAATTATAAATTTTTAATTATTTTATCCAATTAAGTTTATATACGCGAAACAAATAGGCACATTTCATAATGAAAATAGTAACGTTCTAACGTTAAACTTATCAGTTGACCAATAAATATGTTTACAGTAGATCTTCCCTATATAAATGGTTCATATAGTTCGGAATCCTATATGACGGCGAAGAAATTGCGACCGTATTCGTATAAACACGCTAAAAGAGACTCGTATATTCAGTAAGACGTCATTGCCGACTCGTGTCGTGACAGGTTTGGTCGAATCTATACCAATTGCGAATACTGCATAAACCGTTGACTTTAAACGAGCAGCGGACTGACTAAAAACCATTTATTATTTAAAAGCCATAAAAATTATATTTATGCTAATAATGTCTCCAAAGTTCAGCAAAGTTTTCACAGAAAAATAATTTATCATCAAGCACGCGAGAGCTATTCGATGCACCGCTCCACAACGAAAACAAGCTTAAGCAATGGCATCGTCCAACGGTGCACACTCGGTGAGTAATCCTACAATTTTTTGTTTATAGCACAGTTTTTATGGATTATTCCCAAAAAATTATACCTGTTTTGAAAATGTTGAGACGAAATAGTCTAGAATCGATTACAGTAGACCCCCTATAACGCTTAGATACGTTCCACGTTATTCGAATTTTACGTCTTAGAAATCATTAAATATACGAACCAATCACAGCCCGACACGTGTGAAGTTTACGGACTATGGCTGTTTGAAAAAGTTTCTACTATAAAATGAATCAATTCTAGACTAATTCGATTCAACATTTCCAAAATACGTATAATTTTTTTAGAATAATCTATATAAACTATGCTATAAACGAAAAACTGTAGGATTACTTACCGAGTGTGCACCGTTCGACATCGCTATTGCTTAAGTTTGTTTTCGTCGCGAGTAGCGCACCAAACGGTGGTGCGATTTCTAATGTTATTTTTTTGCGAAAAATTCGTTGAACTTTGGAGACATCATTAATATAAATAATTTTTATGGCCGTTGAATAAGAAATGTTTCTTTCACAAGAAATGTATAAAATTACAGTACTGTATTAGACTTACGGTACCTAATTTACGTACTGTACAGACGATAGTAAACTCAATTTACTTGCCTAAGCTCTCCGTAGCGTGTCGCTGAACAGCGGAAAGTAGTTCGGCTGCTCGTCCACTATTAGTCCAGATTCGACCGATCGTGTCGCGACACGAGTCGGCAACGACGTTTTACGAGTCCCTTTTAGCGTCCTTACACGAATACAGTCGTAATTTTTTCGCTACGTTATAGGAATTTCCGTTATAGGAACCCACGTTTTAGGGGGGTCGACTGTAATTTTATGGAAGAAAACCTTACAAACAGCCTTAGTTTGTAAACTGCATACGTGCCGGTCTGTGTGATTGGCTTATGTATTTAAGGACTCGTAAAAAATGAATTTCATAAATGCAGAACATATCTACCGTGCTATAAGAGGGTCGACTGTATTTGCTTTTGGAATACTGACTATTAAACTTAATATGTATAAAAATATTATAATGTAATTAAATGTTTTAAATATTCTCTATATTACAAATTGAAATCCAACACAATTAAATTATAAAATAATGTTTTCAGTACAATTATCCTTTGACCCATTCCATACCGTGTGCAAATGAGGCAATGAACCAGGGATAATGAACAGTACAAGCGTCAAACTTTTTAATAAACTTTGTTGTTCGATAATGCCAAGACTGCACTACCGTAAAAACAACGTAAAACCCATCGCCATATAAGGTTTTAATCACGTGACCCTGATATTTTACGCATGAGCAGTTCGTAAAACTAGCATAGAAGTGAGTTAAGCAATGATCAACTTTCCATGCGAATACGGCCGTAAAGCGGTACCTTCCACCAATCAGAAGTCAGTGAAATCTTGGTCGTTGTGATACAATGGGAAAATGGCGAGAAACTAGATTTTCAGTATGTTCTCTCGTGGCTATTCTAAAATCGATCTGGGAAGATTTATCGAAAACATCCAAAAATATTTGTGTATCTACCACGCCCACCGCTGGCCGAGTGGACTCTGTCTCCGCCTCTTGGTGACGACCAGACCTAAAACACCGGAGTTCGATCTGGGGTTCGCGCCTCACTCGGACGAGCTCTCAGCTGGAGTTTTTTTGGGTTTTTCTCCTAGTCAATAACGGATAAATAGGAGCCAGCTTTTTCTCCAAGTCCTCCCGGAAGGCATTCTGTCTCCCTTTCTCGCGGAGGTTGCTTCTTATAAAATCGGCTTTGGTCACGTCGTGACCTTTCTCCTGTCTTCCTGGGATTGGTCGTCTTCTATAAGACCGCCTCTTCCTCACTGTTTTTTTCCGGAGTGAATAGCGACAAGCTGGGCACTCCTCTACCGGCGATGGAATGGAATGTGTATCTACCACAAGAGGTAACCCGATTATAATAATGCATGGCAAAAAAATCTTTCAATTTGTAGAAGTATATAATAAAAAAGCTAAGCTTGTAATTGCTGTATATCATCTTAATTATACGATAATAAAAGTTAATATATAAAAATGAAGTTATTACTTTTACTACATTTTTAATTATAGTACAGAAAAAACTCGTAAAATACAATCATTGTCTTTATATCGATATATCACATATTAACCGTCTTCTGTTTCCACCAATTCGCGTGCGAAGAAGTACTTCTTTTGCACACTTGGGGCATCACCGTCACCGTAAAATTTTTGTTAGCCGGACCTCCGCCGCAATCAAGACGAAAATGCAAATATGTCACGTAATTAAAAGCTTTTACGGCGAGGAATTCTATGCCCGTTTTTATAGTAGTGAAGTCTCGGCCTAACATTGAAAAAAAAAATAGAAATCTGAAACATTATACTTATTTGCAAAAGTTTGCAAATTCCGTATAACATACATGTTATTAAATTCAACACCAGAAAACTACAAATTTATAAAACATGAAATTATAATTTTAACCCTTAAAAATTCATTTGAAAAGCATTGAACAAAAAGTCAAATTTAATAGAGTGTACTGTAATGTTTATTATTCATAATATACCAATTACGACACGGTACTCCAAATCCTATACTGTGCAGAAAAAGTTAGAATATGAAAACCAGGGAATAATTTATTGTGACATTGTCAAAATACCAAGCTGCAGTTTTTAATTGTAGTATTAATTTGTTTAATTTAAAATTATATTATGCTCCTCATTTCAAACTAGAAGTGGCTTGTTCTAGTACAACGTACAACACTTGCTAGCAATAGAATCGTGCTGGTCATTTATCTAATTCTTTTAAGGGAAAAGTTTTGAATTGAAATAACGAGGCTTCTGATTTGCATCTGAAGTTCCGATCTGTTTAATCGGTGCCTCTTACTTCTGCGCTCACCACCTTGTTTCTATACTTTTCATGTAACACTTTATAGTCATCTTTGTCTTCTTTCACAAAAAATAGAGAGCATGTTACTAAACCAGTAAGAATAATATTACGAATATGATTCAGTAATTTACATAACGTACATTTTGAAAATAATGTAGACGCTTTTTAATTACGGCAAAAACTTAGCAACATTTCAATTATTAATATTTAAACTAACTTGGCTTATCGACAATTCAGCATATATTAACTGAAATCTAATTATTGTTTTTTCTATCATTTAATGTTTTATTATTGTGTAAACAAAACGTGAAGCATTTTAACTCTATTACCAGATAAAAGGTAAATATTCAAATTGGCAAAATCCTTAAAATACAGACTAATTTTATATATTTTTTCTCGATAACAAAGCAGAGAAGAGACAGAAAGTAGCCCAATATAAGTAACAGAGAGGGGCTGATAATATCTTTGATGGATAATTCGCGAAGTTCCGAATCTCTGTTTATTCTAGATTGTTCAGCATGATCGATTTTCTCGATGATTCCAGATTCGAATAATCGACTAGTTCTGAAAATGAAAATTTTAATTCTTATACTTAAACTAGCAATTATTGGACTACAATTTTGAAAAATTGTGGACTTATAAATTTCATGTGTAGTTTGCCTGTCGAAATGTCCGTGTCTCTGTCTTTCTTCAAACTCGAAATCGCAATTCGATAGGTAAAAAGAAGAGACCAGATATGAAAACAACGGATGCAGGATGTTTTGATCAACTGTTTAAAATCTGGCAATATATCACAGAAGTCATGTTATTTTAACCTAAACCTTTACTTTTGAAAATTGTTAAATAGTCGACTGGTACGACTCTATTGTTACAGAAAAAGAATGATGTACTGTACAGAGGCAAGCTACTACTTTGAGATAAAGAGCGTATATCCTATAGTATATGAATTGAAGATATTAGTAAATATTGAAGCCTAACTTTGTGACTATGTGAAAAAAAATTCAACATGGTATTATGACAACCATAATAGCATGCTGAAATTTTTCATCATATTTTTTAAATAATTTAATTTAAAATATATGATTTCCGTTAAATATTAGCAATGTCTTATTTTTGTATCTTATTCTTTTCCTGTCAGAAATGATCCGTGTCGCCAATTCATCGAATACACTTCATGGCACCTAACGTGCTTTAAGTTTAAAACAGGATGTTATTATCCAGTGAATCTGGTCCTTCTCCTCTACTCAATACGAATGTGATTTCGCCATTTATTCTACAAACTGCGTTTTTGAGATTAAAAAAGGACAGTGAGATAGACACACGGATGATAGTGAGAATTTACAAGTATACGATTTTCTTCAAATTGTAGTCCAACAAAAAATTATATAAAGCTTTTATTAACTCACATTTCATAAATTTGATGTCTGAATGGAAAACTCTTCCTCATTGCATATACTTCCATAAAAGTAAAAAGGTTGTCATTCGAAAATATAAAGTTGTCTATATCATTTCGAAGTTTCTTTTTTAATACATAATCAGCATATATTAAAGCGAATCGTTCTTTCTGTACTCTTTGAATTCCTTTGTTTAATTCAATAAAGTTGTTGTTTTGTATTATATGATTTGTTATGATCTTCGCAGATTTTAACTTGGAATTCTTGAAAATTACTTGACATCATATAATACATAATATAAAACTACTAATGATAAGATATATATTATTTTCATATCATTTCCTCACTTACTTGAATTGTTTGCCATAAAATAGATGTACTGGCTACTCCACAAGTATATTCCCCTGTTAGTATAGAATTTGCTAACTGTTCAAAAGTGTTTGGAATTTCTTTAGTAACAGAATACATCATGAACGACATTAAAGTCCCGCTATAACTAGACCCTAAAATAAGGATGGATAGCCACCATATTCCAATCATAAATCTGGGTGAAAACCTCTTCATACCATCCAAATTTATTCCTGCGTATACAAAATTCCTTCGTGAAACAAAATCTCGTAATTACGAATTATACAAAAATAAAAGGCAATACCTTGATATACGAATGTTCGAAACAAATTCCAGAAAATTTTACTTCTGGCCAAAATACTTCTATATCTTGTAATGCAAAGTCTCTTTCTAACACTTTGTGTAACGCTAGTCCGAACACAATAACGGTTATGAAAATAGCGATCCAAATCTAAAAAATTGAAATATTGCTATTATTATAAAATGTTTATAATTTAAATAACAATTACTTGCCATAAATGAAAATGGAGCGACAATGGAACTCCAATTAGGGATCTTCTCAGGTTTCTTCACAATGAACACAATAGATTGATATCCTACCCCTGCAGAAAACTCAGTGATTGAATACAAATTGTAATTAATAAAGATTGGAACGATTCCCATGTCCACTTCCTGTTAATTAAAAAATTAATTATTATTACATTTCAGTAATAAGTATATAGTGATTTTTAGAAACAAGTAAATACAAATATTCTCAAAAAATAACTTTTTTACTTAAACTTAAACCTAACCTACACACATAGTCAGACAACCACTCATACGTGAAGGTAAAAAACAATTTTGACCGAGCGCAATACTTGTCTTTTGATTGATACAACAATTAAAATGTAAAAACATAATTCTATAATATAATAATTTTGTAATGAGTTTTAAAGCCTTTCCCCTCGTCTACCTAAAGATGTTTACATCCACAAATTTGCGTATGAACAGTTTTGTCTACATATCATTTCGAATAGTATTAACTTATAAATTTAAAATTCAACACATTAAATATAACATGTGTACTATTGTGTAGAAACATAATATACGTTAAATATAGNACAGTTTTGTCTACATATCATTTCGAATAGTATTAACTTATAAATTTAAAATTCAACACATTAAATATAACATGTGTACTATTGTGTAGAAACATAATATACGTTAAATATAGGTAGTCTTTAGTAAAAATTTTTATCACTTCTTTACTAACGCTGTTAATTAATCCCTCGGTGACACGACGTATTTTAAAATAACCTAAATTAATACATAGTATATATGTTAAGTAAAAACAGGCGATAAAACCAAATTCTACTTCGTATAATACAGGTTGAAACAGGGAGGTTTGCACATTAAAAAATGGGTGTTATTAAATTTTGCTGGTTAAATGTTGCAGAGAAAATTTTGCAATTCCTCGCTAGATTTTTATAGTGTTGTTACAGTATTATTCGAGTAACTCTGTACGTTTAACATTATTTTATCAGAATTCTCAAAAACTTACGTCAGGTAATAAGAAATTATATAAACCTTATATGTAACTTTTAATAACTTTGTTAATTATATGAACTGTTTTCAAAGTCACCAGAATTAATAAAATGCATTGTGTAATTGTTTAATAGGAAAGAAAGATAGAAATAACACCAAGGAAGTAACGTAAACTATTGAATGCTGCTAATTATTAAGCGGTGTGTACTATTAGGTTATTAAGTTGTGCAAAAAGTCAATATTTTTCTGTTGCTTAAACTATATTGTAAATTTTGAAAGTCTCTTTTGCCTGAGTTTTTTTTTTGTGAGTGCTTAAACTCAGCCATATATCGGATATGATGTTAAATACAAATTTCGTACAGAGTATAACTATAGAAAAATCATTTTGCATTATAACTGTAGAAAATTCAAACTGGCTTTTCTTTAATATGTTAAAGTAAGTTTAAAAAATCTTCAGACTGCCAATCTAACTAAAACGAAAGGAGTCTTTGCACCAGATTTCAGCATGTAAGATTTAATACACAAGTATTTTAGAGTTAGAAAAAAGTTAACATAAAACAAAAAATTATAATGTAATACATGAATGCATCTGTTAAATAATTAAATCACTTACCTGTCTTATAATTTTTCCAATCATTTCTGTCCATGTTCTATTTTTTATTAATCTTCCAAAGTAATCATCTACTGGCTTAGCTATGGAATAACTAATTGTATGCAAATAAATATATTTTTGTTAAATATGAGTTGAAAAGTTACAACTAAATTTATCGTAATTCGAAATATTGTACTAGTATAATTGTTTTAAAAAATATCTGAATTGAAATGGAGTATTTGGTACTTCTTAATATTCAAAGTTGGAAGATGATTCGATTAAATTAATTTGTTATAAACTTTTGGAATTGTTTAATGGAAGCCAATGAAATACACTTTCAATGAAGTCATACGTTTCAAAACATTTATATTTAAAAATATTTCATAGTATTAAGTCAAGGCTACTGTATAAGAAGACATTAGTATTTGAGTGAAATTTCTCCAAAAGTAATGTTGTCGACATTAGAAAAAAAGGAAATTAAAACAATCGTGCGCAATGGAATGTGTGTGTGTGTTACATTTTCTGAAACTGGAAAATATAAAATGTTTTCAATCTTTTAGATATTTTCAAAAAATTCAGGAAAAATCGACTGTTGGAGGAATAGCACCATGCAACACCGTGAAGAAAGGTCAATATTATGAATGGTTTCTTTTGTTTTTTCAAGTTTTATTTATATTTTCAGCTAAATTCATACATTTAGCAATTATATTATATATCTTGCACTGTTTTTCAAAATGTTATTTCCTAAATACTCTTTTTTCTTGTTCTTAATAAACTAAATTATGAAAAATAGATTTTTATCTTCAAGGATTAAAGAACTAATGGCATTGATAGAATATATAATTAGAAAAGTTTCGCATCTAGATTAATTGATATATATAAATTGAAAAAATATTTATTTTAAAAAAATTAATGATTAGAGTTAACAAATAGTATACAAAGAGACTTATTATTAGTAGGAATATAGAAAATTTTCAGTACGATATTAAGAGATATTTAAAATACAGAAAGTTGCATTTTTATTCTTAATCCATCATATGAAAATGATACTTAAAAAGCCTTTATTATTAACGTTGTTTTTGACTGTAATTTACTAAGAGTATAATTTCGTTTCTTGTTTAATTCGTACATTTAAAAAGATTGTTATGCACTACATTTTCTGATATATACAGGTTTTACTCTTTTTTTAGTTTGCTTTATTACTACTACTTAATCTAAATATTCATAACAAGAGATAAAACAGCTTAATATTAATATTATGTGTTATATTTTACAGCTAAAATCAACAAAAATAATTATTTTTACAAATAAATGTCTTTATAAGTAGGTGTAAATAAAGAAAGAAATATTCTGAAGTATTGTGATTGAACTTAGAAGTTCAATTACGGATATTAATTCTAATTATTGCAAAATTTTACAGAAACAAATTGTGCTGATTCGTATTAATATTGAAGTTGACTTTTTAATTTTTGTAGTTATTAAATATTTTATAAAAATAAATATTAAAAACATATTACGAGATAATTTTGAAAATACCTAAATTTTAGTTTTTCTTGAAAAGCTTTAAACACTCGAAAACGAAATCTTCCTGTCATTTTATTCTGAGTTTTATCCATAGTCACGAAATAAGGATTCTTAAAAAAGCAAAGCAATTGTTTTTATATATATATAAGTGAATAATAAAATTGTAATAGTATCTTTAACCTTTATCGCACCTAATTTCTATTGATAAAAATCGTTTCGTCTAGCTGTAAATATAATATACATAAAAAACATACAATTATATTAAAAAAAACTACAGTCTACCTCCCTATAACACTGTTGATAATTTTATTTTATATGAATTCCATGTTGTACGAGTCATTTTGAGTTTACAAATACATAAGCCGTTCACAGCCCGGCACACGTATTTGTAAAATCTAAGTGACTCCTTAATTCTTAATCACGGTAATCAATATAAATCAATATGAATTATAAAGATAAATGTACAATGTGCGTGCCGCTAAAACTAAAAAACGAGTCCCGGTACGATCAAAGGAGTTATATGGTGTGGTAGCCCTCTATCCATTAAGGAAGATCTTATTTTTACCTGAAAGGCGTGGGGATATATAAGGGCTAGAAGTTTCGTCTTCTAGGAATTTCTAGAACAGTCCAGAACATTCGAGAGCATTCCACAACATTCCAGAATATTCCCGGATGTTCTGAAACGTTCGGAAACAAACCGGAACATTGTGGACTATCCAGAACACTCTCGAATATTGTGAAACATTGTGGACCATTCGAAGTTTCTTTTTTATGAGTGGGACAACCCTTGGTGGGGATATATAAAGCAAGATCCGGCGTGGGTTCGAACGTCAGTTTCTTATCAGTAACAAAGACAAAAACCGAAAACAAAGTAAAAATTCTAAAGTAGTGAAGTGAGTGAATAAAAAGAAACAGTGAAGTGTGAGTAGTCAAGGTAATACACTGACTGAATATAAATCGAAAATAAAGTGTGAAAACTGTGTAAAGTGTACTTAGTGTATTTGTTAAATAAAAAGTTTATTTCATTTATAATTTATACAATGCCCAAACTTAAAAGAAAAAGAGATCTTGCCGGTTATGAATTTTCCATTGAATATTACCAGGAATTTTATTTTGAATATTAAAGTTGATATCTTCAACAATATTATTTTTAGTTGCAAAAATTGCTATTTTAAATAGCCACTCCGAATAATAATAATAATAAGAAGCGCAGAGCCCAAACGGTTAGGAGTTGAAGGTTGAAATTTGGTACACAGTTCGGGTGCATCATGAGAAGGTACACTGAGAAAAGATATTTCGAAATTCTCCTTGCGGGAGAGAGAGAGACATGGTTAAGGTTTCCGGTGAAGAACTCGGCTTCTATTATACTATTTTAAATGCGGTTTTTTGCGTTTTTGATTACCATTTAATAAGGTACGTCACGCGAATGTGCACTGAGAAAATATTTTTCGAAATTCCCCGCGGAATGATGTTGTTAACACTTGCCCCGCAGTGAAGTGTAAACAATGAAAGTGTTAACAATGAAAGTGGCTAAGTAACTATTGAAGTGTTATGAGAAAGCGACCTGCAAGATTTACAGGTCGCTTTTCAGGTGCAGATGCTGTTTTCTTCGCTTTTGCGGGATCGAACATTTTTTTAGACCCATGTAAAAATTCTCTAATTAGTCTGGTAACGGGGAACCTAATTCTTACATTCTGTTAAAACGGGTAAGATTGGCTGTAACGTAATCTTAATCTTAAACTTAAATGTTTTCGAATGGTCGAAAATGTTTTGGTATAGTCGAGAATTGTTATGTGTGAGTAGTGGGGATTATTTTTGGAAATGTGTGACTCACATGCTTCAGTTGATTTTTCATAAGTAAAAGTGTACAAATAACAGAAAAAGTACAAAGTAAAAAGTGAATAGCGAAGTATAGAAAGTAAAAATAATAATAAAAAAAAACAATGCCAAAGCGTAAGAAGAAATTTTTACAGTACCTAATCATATCTCAAAGGCAGAAGATGGCGCGGAAAAATGAAACCACGTAAGAAAGAAAAGTACGTCTAACATTGCCACGATAAAATTATCAACGAAATAGAAATAATCAAACAAAAGGGCAACTTGAAAATTATAGGGAACAAAACACATCGAATCAGAGAATGATTATGTAGATGAAGAGAAATAGTCTTTTATATATATAAAGAAACTATATTACACATAAATGTAAGAACAAATAAAAAACCAGCGATGCGGGTACTTGCAGCTAGTTAGGAAATGAATTAAAATATCTGTTAATCTTTAATTGCATATTCTAAGTTACAAAGGGAAAGATGAACATGTAAAACATGTCGGTTTGATATTAAATACAATAATGTTTAAAACAAAGTAATTTTTATTGAATAAATTGGAATTTATAATTCTTACCTTCATTCAAATGAACGTATTTGAAAATCCCAAAAAGTAAAAAAAAGATTAAAGTGACTTTAATTTTTCACCGAGTTTACACTGAATGACCAATGATTTTCTTATTTTCGAAATATAAATGTTATAAATATTTAACATTGTTTACATATTGTTGTTATGGATATGAAATATAACTTCAAATTATTTTTTATATATATAGGCGTTATTTCTCACAAAAGAAGTAAATTATTTTCTAAAATATTTTACATGTATTTGTTTTTTAGAAGAATGAATGTGACCCAACTTTCTTTAAATGCCAAACTGCACCTTAAAATTCTAGTCAAGTACAGTACACAGACAAATGACACGTAAGCAGTTTTCTTATTGGAGAATTGATAATGACAGGCTATTATTTTATGTGTACAGGTATCTCTGGTAACCGAAATTCAAATACAATTTATTAGTGAACGTATAAACTATTCTGTAATATTTTTTGTCTTTTTTTATGCGAATTATTGTGTTTATAGCCTAGAGTTTAAATCTCTTGTAAGTGCTTTGCGATAGAAAGTCTACTTATATAAACAGATATTTTCATAAATGCATTTTGATATAAATATACATTTAAGGAATCACAAAATAATATGTTAATATAAACACGGCTGTTAATGTACACGTCCATGATATGAAAAGTATTGTTACTCTTTATTATTATTATTACATAGAATAAAGAAAGACAAATTTTTGGTAATATTATCTTTGGTTTAATTTTTTTTGTTTGCTCAAAAAGTTAAATTTAGTAGGAAATATTAATTAATAAGCGCTGTTTGCAGAATATTAAATGTAGCAGTATAATAAACATAGATAATCAATGTTTTTTATACTGTATAATTGCTAGTTTATATCCAAATACTAACAACAAAAATTCGATTTATTCGTACAGGAAATTTTTGAAATATTTAAATACAAATACCCTAAAATTTCCAGTAAATATTAAAAATATTCCATCATTTGAAAAAAATAATAGTTTAAAAATTCAAGTATTTGGATATGAAAAAAAAATAATTTATCCTATTTATATAAGTAAATATCAGTTCGAAAAAGAAATTAATTTGTTATTATATAAATCCCATTATTTTCTAATTAGAAACTTTAACAGACTATTGTCAGAAAAATCAGGAATACGAAAATTTTGTAAACGATGTCTTATAGGCTTTCAAAGAAGTCATACTTTAAACGAGCATGTGAAAATATGTTCTAATTATAAATATCAGAAAGTTTCTACCCCGACTGGAGAAAGAGCTGTTGCTAAATTTACTAATTACGAGAAGCAATTATATCACCCCATAGTAATTTATGCTGATTTTGAATCGATTCTAGAAGAAGTTGATGTAAACGCTGTAGATCTAAATTCTAGTTTCACTAAAACTATTCAGATTCATAAACCTATATGTTATTCTATCGTTATTATAGAAAATGATGATGATTTATTGTATTCTAATTTTTATTGTGGTAAAGATGCTGTTAAGCATTTTTTATTTGATATCCAGAATCAATTAAATATTTTATTAGATAAAATAAATAGTTATGTAGAAATGAATGTAGATACTATTTTTGATAATTACGAACATCAGTGTCATATATGTAAAGAGGGGTTTAATTATGATGATATCAGAGTAAGAAATTACGATTACTTAATAGGCAATTATTGCGTGATAGCTCATAACTATTGTAATTTACATTATAGATTCAAAAAATTTATTCCTATTATACTACATAATTTTACAGATTATGACTCCCTTTTGATTTTCAAAAATATTCCTCTTAAACTATTTTCGAGAATTCAGATTATCCCCGTAAATTCAGAAAAATTTACAACAATGTTTACTTTAGATCATTTCACATTTATACATAGTTAACAATTTTTAAATACTTCACTAACTACTTTGACAAAAAATTTAAAAAATGCGAATTATAATTTTTTTATTTTTAATCAATTTTTTTATAATAACGAAAATAAAAATTTATTTAAAAAAATTTTTCCTATTCTTATTTTAAAAACGAGGATATTTTATACAAGAAATGTTTACCGCCGAAAAAATATTTTTATAACGAATTATCTAGAAAAAATATTAGCAATGCTGATTATGATCATGCAAAATTACTTTGGAAAAAATTTCGTTGTTAAAGTTTTAAAGATTATTTAAAATTATATCAATATGTTGACACTTTATTACTGGTCGATATATTCCGAAATTTTAGAAACTTAAGTCTAAAATATTATAATTTAGATCCAGTATATTTCATAACAGCTCCATTCTTAACATGGAATTGTGGATAAAAAATGACAAAAATTTAACTGAATTATTTAAAGATATTAATATGTATCTTTTCATCGAAAACGGGGTCAGGGGAAATTAGTTCGACGGGGGAAGCGATTAACTAGGGCGAATAATCTTCTAATTCCAAAAACCTATAATAAAAATCAATGTCATAACTATATTATTTTGATAGATGCTAATAATCTCTATGGATTTGTGACGAGTTTTTATTTACCTGTAAATAATTTCAGATGGTTATCCGAGGATGAGATAAATGCTTTAGACATTTGTAATATTCCTGATAGGAATAATTAGGCTATAGTTTAGAGGTTGATTTAAATTATCCACCAAATGTTCATGATAGCCATAATGACCTGCAATTAGCTTCTGAC